GAATGTGCTGCCGGCTGAGAGGGGGAGGCAGCCTCGATCTGAGGGCCCCGGAGCTGCGGCCACGCCCATCGCCTCCAGCCCAGCTCGCCCATTGGCCAACCAGGCTCCGGTGCGTTCGACCAATGGGAAGGGGCGATGGAGAGCCGGGGCGGAAAGAGCGAACGGAAAGGGGAAGCGAACGACGCTGGGAGGAGCCGGCTCGGGGCCGGGAGGGGTGCGGCTGGGGTAGACAGGGAAGGACCACGTGCCTTCGGAGAGAGGGGGAGGAAGCGACAGAGAAGTACACTTAAGGGGAAACCAGCAAGGGGAAGGAGAGGCCGGGGAACGCTGCAGGGCGAGTTGTTTTGCATCACTCGTCCGGGAAGCCCTAGATGCAGGGGTCCAGGGTCGAGACTGCGTTAAAGTAACGTTCTTCTCTCCCCGGGCGCGCCCTGTCTTCCTGGGCATTCCTTGCGCTCTCTGTTCGCTTTGCAGAGAGATCTGAGCTTCGCTCTTTCCCAGGTCGGACGCTCGCAGCTCCGTTCCCGGGCTGGGGCTCCCTGCCGTCCAGGGTCGAGTCTGGGGGCCAGGACCTGCAGGGATGACGTGAGTTGAGGAGGCTCAGCGGAAAGCGACAGGAACGGTGGGTGGAAAAGGAAAGGGCCCAGTAGACGTATCTGATTTATCTTCTGTGACTAAGCGCCCGCAACAGGTAGGAATTTAGGCAGAGCTGGTGATCCTTAGACAATAGCACTTCCTAGGTAATTCCTCTTAGAAAGTTAAAGAAGCTGCTTGACCACAAAGTATGAACTTCTGGAGGGCGGAGCCCGTGGCAGCTGACAGGGAATATTGTCTGTTGAGAAAGGAAATGAATTCCAGGGATACCAGGGACAACATTACCAGAGGCAGAAATGCACGAGATACAAAAGAACGTATTCAAAAATTTCACAAAACAGAAATGGAAAATTATTTTAAAATATATTGAAATATCAACGAATAACATCTCAAATGTCCAGGGATATGTAAAGCAGCAACTCTGGTCGGAAGCAAGGAATCGAGGCGTTGGGTGTGTTTAAACTTGGCGAGGCAGGGAGAAGAGACCCTGATACAAACTCCTTCAGAATTGTTGACTCCCGGTCCTTTCTAGTATATTTTTTGAGCAGAACAACGTGCAGAGATAAATGTTTAAAATACATATGTTTCTTAGGGAAACACTTTTAAAGCCAACAGAGGGGAATTTTTTTTTAAGTTAAAATGGAAGAAGTCGGTGGGTTTAACAGATGTGAACAACTGAGTTTCCTTTGGGGGAGAGGTAATGAAAAGAGCCGGAGTGCTTTAGGAATCACTTTGGAGAGGATATTGTAGTGGGGGAAAGGAAGGTAAAAACTTAGGAAGCAGAGTAGTACCTTTAAAGTCGTCAATACTTTATAGACCATCAACTGGGCTATGGACAACAGAAGCTGTGCCTGGGAATAACTCACACTGAAGGTTAACTTGAATATAAATTTAGAACAGATCTTAAATACAAATGATGATGTTCATTATAAAATGTTATTCCTCAAAGAGTCATTTAATTGAAGTAACATTGTATTTGCATACCAGAGCACTGATGTTTTTCAAAATGTGTTTAGGATAAGAAAATTCACTTGAAAAGCTGGAGTATGTGTGTATTTTGTGCCATCATGGATTTTATCATAAGCAGTGTTCAAGAAAACAAATTACCAGCGAATTCCCACCCTATGAATAAAAGTTACCTTGTCAACGTATCAATAGATGAACATTTTGTTACTTCTTGGAATACATGTCATGGTAGCTTTCATGATGAAGTTTATAGAAGTGTCCGTTACATGTCTTCGTGTCTCCAGCTACAACTGAGTGTCTCTGATGATTAAACAACAACCCGAGTTTTCTCTCTGCAGAAGACTCCTAAAAAAGGGTTGCAATTAGTTACCAACTCAGAAAGATGCAATACAAATAGGAAATAACCGCAATTTATGATTTTGTTTATCTAAAATCTGTCTTCCTCCCTAGACAGTAAGCTCTCTGAAGTTAAGAAGCATAGTTATTTTGTTCACTACTGTATACCCAGCACCTAATAGTACTTGGCACATAAGTACTCAGGAACTATTTGTCAAATGCAAGAACGTATGCCCCGAAAGTAGGAGTCAGGAAAACCAGAAAAAATGCCTTTAAGTATTACAGAAATGCCACAGGCCTCCACTTAAATTGAAAAACAAGCTAACACCTCTTGATAAAAATGTGGATTGAGATCAATAAGCAGCTTCTCCACTCCTTCTGGAATCTCCACCTGGTTCAGCCTGCCTGCCTCTGCCATGTCCATCAGGGTGACCCAGAAGTCCTATAAGGTGTCCACCTTTGGCCCAGGCTTTCAGCAGCCGCCTCTATATGAGTGGGTCCAGTGCCTGCACCAGCTCCTCAAACTTCTCTCCCTCGTGGGGAGCAGAAGCTTCTGGGGTGGCCTGGGCAGAGGCTATGGTGGGGCCAGCAGCATGGGAGGTATCACCACCATCACGGTCAACCAGAGCTTGCTGAGCCCCCTTAACCCTGAGGTGGACTCCAACATCCAGGCTGTCCACACCCAGGAGGAGGAGCAGATCAAGACCCTCAAGTTTGCCTCCTTCATAGACAAAGTACGGTTCCTGGAGCAGCAGAACAAGATGCTGGAGACCAAGTGGAGCCTTCTGCAGCAGCAGAAGATGGCTGGAAGCAGCGTGGACAACATGTTCGGGAACTGTATCAACAACCTTCGGCAGCAGCTGGAGCCAGGAGAAGTTGAAGCTGGAAGCGGAGCTTGGCAACATGCAGGGGCTGGTGTAGGACTTCAGGAACAAGTATGAGGATGAGATCCATAAGTGTACAGAGATGGAGAATGAATTTGTCCTCATCAAGAAGGATGTAGATGAAACTTACATGAACAAGGTAGAGCTGGAGTCTCATCTGGAAGGGCCGACTGTATGAAGTGGCGATCCAGGAGCTGCAGTCCCAAATCTCCAACATGTCTGTGGTGCTATCCGTGGACAACAGCTGCTCCCTGGACATGGACAGCATCGTTGTTGAGGTCAAGACGCAGCACGAGGAGGTTGCCAACCGCAGTTGGGCTGAGGCTGAGAGCACGTACCAGATCAAGTATTTGGAGCTACAGATGCTGGCTAGGAGGCACGGGGATGACCTGCGGCATACAAAGACTGAGATCTCCAAGATGAACCAGAATATCAGCCAGCTCCGGGCTGAGATTGAGGGCCTCAAAGGCCACAGGGCTTCCCTGGAGGCCGCTGTCACAGATGCTGAGCAGCGTGGGGAGCTGGCCATTAAGGATGTCAATGCTAAACTGTCCGAGCTGGAGGCCACACTGCAGCGCATGAGTATCTGGAGCTGAGGAACGTCAACTTGGCCCTGGACATGGAGATCGCCACCTACAGAAAGCTGCTGGAGGGCTAGGAGAGCTGGCTGGAGTCTGGGATGCAGAACATAGGTATCCATACGAAGACAACCAGCGGCTATGCAGGTGGTCTGAACTTGGCCTATATGGGCCTCACAAGCCCTGGCTTTAGCTATGGCCTGGGCTCCTGCTTTGGCTCTGGCACAGGCTCCAGCTCCTTCAGCTGCACCAGCTCCACCAGGGCCGTGGTTGTGAAGAAGATAGAGACCCACAATGGGAAGCTGGTGTCCAAGTCCTCTGACTTCCTGCCCAAGTGAACAACTGTGGCAGCCCCTCCTAGTCTGTTCCTCCTGTGGCTGCCACAGACTCCGGGAGGGAGGCTGCTGTGTGGGGGAGCACAGAGAACAGGAGACCCCCCTGAGGCTCAGCCCACCTGCAGGGGAGTTTACTGCCTGGTGATCCAACACACACACACACACACACACACACACACACACACACAAAATTGTAGATTGAGTCGTTATTGCTTCTAGTTTACTGAGTTCCTTCTATTAATATAAATTCTTGATTTGGTATCATGCTCATTCTGGGGTGAAAAGTTTAGGGAATAAATCAGACATACATTTCAGGGAAAAAACCCCTGCGTATTTAAAAGTAGTTGTGACACACTTTGTTAAACAATTACCCTTAATTATAATTCTTAGGTAGTCTATTGGCTTAAATTTATTACTTGAAATTGTCACTACTCGTTTGCCAAGTTTATATGTTTAGTGTCTGTACTTCCGATTCTTCCCAGATAGAAGATACATAATTTATCAAATGGGCAAAGAAGTCCTTCAGGGAGTTGGTAATAGCTCTACATGCTGATTGATAATTGAATTAGCAAGATATAGTAGATCTAACTGATTAGGAGGTTTCAATTTTACTTGCTGGACTAAGGAAGTAAAATGCAGAATTATTAATAACCATTTCAATATTATCTTAATTTGGGATGTGATAAATTATCACAAACTGAGTGGCTTAAACAACAAATACTTCTCACAGTTAGGGAGGACGTGAAGTCCATTATTAAGGCAGATCTGGTATGTGGTGAGAATTCACTTCCCGGTTTGGAGATGGCTATCTACTTATTGTATCCTTGTATGTTGGATAGTAGCCAGGAAACAAGCTCTCATTTCTCTTATACGGGCACTAATCCCATTCATGAGGGCCTCACCCTCATGACCTAATTACCTCCCTCAAACCTCACCCTTAACGCCATCACATGGGGGTTAAGATTTCAACATACATTTTGGGGGAACACAAACATTTAGTTCATGACTAACGCAGACTATTTAACAAAGACACTTTTTTGTGTATATGAAGTATAGTTGTTATAACCAAACACCAGAAAACCTATTCTGTATCTGAGACCTGTTTTGCAATAGGCTATTTGGTGTTAGGTAATGATCTTCTGACTTGTAATCACTCTTGGTATTGGGAAAGTCTAAAATATTATGGAGATACTTGCTTTCAGTGTGTCATGAAATTCTCTGAGTCACTTTCTGAATAGAGAAACTCTGTTCTGCAACAGACATTTGTGAAAGGATTTGTGAAGACTTATACAGGATTTTGGTTGATCAAATGCAATCTCAAAAATAATTATAATTGTGAGTTAAGCAGTTTAGACTCTTCTCATGATACATGCATTAAACTGAAGATTATAGAATCTTTCTTTGTAATATGGATCCTATGGTTCTCTGTTACTGTTTGGGGGAATACCTGAGATTATGTTTGATTTCCGGAGCAAAAGGCTGGATAGTTAGTGTTGGCTGAAAAGAGAAGGAATTTTTTTTTTTTTTAATTTTGAAACAGGGCTTCACTCTGTTTCCCAGGCTGGAGTGCAGTGATCTCGGCTCACTGCAACCTCTGCCTCCTGGGTTCAAGCAATTCTCCTGCCTCAGTCTCCTAAGTAGCTGGGATTACAGGCACTCACCACCACACCCAGCTAATTTTTGTATTTTTAGTAGAGACGGGGTTTCACCATGTTGGTCAGGCTGGTCTCAAACTCCTGACCTTGTGATCTACCCGCCTTGGCCTCCCAAAGTGCTAGGATTACAGGCGTGGTACTGTGCCTGGCCTCAGGAATTTTGTATGTTGCTAAATCTTACTAAAATATAAATGATTTTGTTACGGTTGGACTCCTGCTTTTTTGAGAGAAAAATATTAAGACTTTGGTAATACACCTTTATTTTCTCTGGAAAACAAAGTTGATCAGGTAGTAGAAACTTCATTCATTCATTTTCATTACCAGACTTTTCTGACTTACAACTTGGGGAGCCTGGAGAAACAATTATTACTAAATATTGAGCACCTACCATATTCTAGGTCTAGGCGTTTTATCTATGTAAAGTGTTTTAAAATTATTATTGTTATTTCTATTTCTGCTATTATAGGCAGATAATTTTGACTGAAGCCCCTGGTAAAAGATGATGAATTAAAAGCCTAGCCATTGATGTTGTTATTATTACTATTTTTGAGACAGAGTCTCATTCTGTTGCCTAGGCTGGAGTGCAGTGGGGTGATCTCCGCTTACTGCAATCTCCGCCTCCCAAGTTCAAGCGATTCTCTTGCTTCGGCCTCTGAGTAGCTGGGGTTACAGGCGCCTGCCACCATGCCCAGTTAACTTTTTTGTATTTTTAGTGGAGACATGGTTTCACTGTGTTGGCCAGGCTGGTTTCAAACTCCTGACCTCAAGTGACCCACCTGCCTTGGCCTCCCAAAGTGCTAGGATTACAGGCGTGAGCCACTGCACCTGACCATTGATGTTAACTTGATTGAGAGGGATGCATCTAGTTTTTCTTTAGCTTAGTTTTTTTAAAAAAACAAACAAACAAAACAAAACAAAACACTTAGTTTTAACTATTTCATTGGAGAAAAACAATTACAGGCCCAGCCTCCAGGCCCAATAGTTCTCATTTCAGGCAAGCTCCCTACCCCTATCTTTTTTTGTTGTTTAAACTTTTTATTTTAAACTAATTACAGATTCACAGGAGTAACAAAAAAATGTACAAGGAGATCCCATATGTCCTTTACCGAGTCTCTCCCAATGGTATCATCTTGTATAACTGTAGTACACTATCAAAACAATGAAATTGGCATTGATATAATCCACAGAGGTTATTCAGAGGGGAGGCAAGACATTAGAATGTAAAGAATACATGGAAGTATGAGGCAATATCCATGTATTGGAACCTTTTATAACCTTATACTTTACAGGAAAAAATTCTATAATGACAGTGATGACAGTTGTTACCAAATATGCAGTACGTACTGTATTCTAGGTTTAGGTATTTTATCTACGTATTTTATTATAGTTATTTGTATGTCTTTTATATTTCTGCCATTATAGGCAGGTAATAGTTAATGAGCACTTATGTGGCAGTCAGTCTTCTTTTTTTTGAGACGGAGTTTCGCTCTGTTGCCTAGGCTTGAGTGCAGTGGCGCAATTTCACTGCAACCTCCGCCTCCTGGGTTCAAGTGATTCACCTCTTGCCTCAGCCTCCCGAGTAGGCGCAAGCTGCCACACCCAGCTAATTTTTGTATTTTAGTAGAGACGGGGTTTCACCATGTTGGCCAGGCTGGTCTTGAACTCCTGATCTCAAATGATCCACCTGCCTCGGCTTCCCACAGTTTTGGGATTACAGGCGTGGGCCACTGCGCCTGGCCTGGCAGGCATAAAAAGCATGTGTAACCCCAGCTATTCGAGAGGCTGAGGCAGAAGGAGAATCACTTGAACCCGAGGGGCGGAGGTTGCAGTGAGCCGAGATCACGCCACTGCACTTCAGCCTGGGCAACAGAGAAAGACTCTGTCTCAAAAAAAAAAGAAAGAAAGAAAGAAAAAGAGACTGCCATCTAAGTGCTCAATAACTATTACCTGCCTATAATAGCAGAAATACAAAAGGAATACAAGTAATAATAATAAAATACTTTATATAGATAATGTATGTATGCAATATATGTATGTTAACTCATTGAATCCTCACCACCACCCTATGAGTTAAGTATATTCACTTTACAGATGATAAAATGAAGAACAAAGAAGTTTGGTAATTTTCCCAAGATCACACAATAGCTAGCATTGGAACTGGGCATGACACCAGAGCTAGCACTCCTAATTACCATGGAGATACATAAACTTCACTGTGCATAGCAACTTTTAAAGGCAGGCATTTCCATTTTCTGTATGAGGAACCTGAGGTTAAAAGAAGCAATTTGCTCAAGACCCTACACAACTGGCAGGTGCTAGAACCCTAGTTGGATTCCAGCCCTGCCTAGCTGTAAACCCCTGTGATTTCTAGTTGACCATTCTAGATAGACCCCTGGCCTATCACACTGATCTCAGCTGAATCTCTGAAGAGGTTGCGTTCTGAAATGCCCAAGGGAATGGTTTGCAAACTTCAGAATGCATTAGAATCACCTGGAAGGTTAAAAACCAGATTGGTGGCCTCTATCCCCAGGGTTTCAGTAAATTTGGGATAGCCTTTGAAGATGTGAATTTCTAACAAGAGCTCAGATGATGCTAATGATGTTTCAGTTCCTAGAATACACTTTGACAACCACTAAATCTGGCCCAACAGAGCTCATTATAAGGTGGTTTCACCATTAAGATAAGAACAGACTTAAGGGTTAATTAGGCATCACAGTAATAGATCATATATCATGCAACACTTCAAAGTACTGCATGTCAGCTGGGCATGGTGGCTCACGACTGTAATCCCAGCACTTTGGGAGGCCGAGGCGGGTGGGTCGCTTGGGCCCAGGAGTTTGGGACCAGCCTGGGCAACATGGTGAAATCCTGTCTCTACAAAACAAAAAACAAAAAACAGAAAAAATTAGCCAGGCATGGTGGCATGCGCCTGTAGTCCTAGCTACTCGGGAGGCTGAGGTGGGAGGATCGGCTGCAGTGAGCCATGATCGCACCACTGCACTCGAGCCTGGGTGACAGGAGTGAGACCCTGTGTTAAAAAAAAAAAAAAAAAAGGAATGAGTGTGTAAATTTATTGTTATAGATTTCTTACTTGAAAAAATGTACCAAATAATTAATATTTCAAGGACAACATTGAACAAGCCAGTAATACCCAGTTCCATATTACTTTCTGAATAGAGGTATGTACTACTTTCCTGGGTTTCTCTCTGCTTCTGGTTTTCCTCTTGAATTTTCTCAAATACTGTTTTGTTTATGGCATTCTTCACCAAGACTGGCTCCATTGAGCATGCAAAGTCTATTCTGAGTTTTTTGGTGTTAGCTTAAATCTCACATACTCTGCCACTGCTTTCCCTAGCTCCTTGAAGGATCAAGCCTGTCCTCGTTCTTGAATCAATTCTCAAAGAGGCAGATGGTCTCCATTAACTATTCTTCCTCTGTTTCTGAATTTTAGCCCATTTGCCAGATACTCTGTTTCCCTTCTACTAGT